CCCCCATACACCCGAGCTTTCAGTGAAATAATAAGAGAAAGATGAGCAAAACAATGAAACGATTTAATAACAGCGACGTTCTAGCGGCGGGGAAGGGGGAGCAGGGCAGCCGTAGTACTTAGTAGGTATTCCGACGAGTATAGTACGTGGAAGGATTTAAGCTACGCGAAGCCAGGCACCGTAGCTCGGATGCAGATGATCCAAGATTATAGACATTAGGGACATTAACCTTGGCGTTATACGTTATTCTTCGGTGGCCCCCGGGGTCCCGGGCTGCGCACATTCGTTCCTCACACACGCGTGCACCAGTGCTGACCGCGCGTTAAATGATCCGACGGCGTTACTCCCGCGATCGCACCGTTGCTCCCGATACATAATGCGCACGATCTGTAGGTCTATTCTGTAACTTTTAGGCCTGTTATACAATAGATCGTATGTCGCAGTCCGATGTCGGGACGCAGTCGATGGTTCAATGAGAGAATTGATTTTTCGAGAACGAGTTCTCTCATTGATCCATCGGCTGCGTTCCGACATTCGAAAGCGACATACGACTTATAGTGTAACCTTATTATGGGCCATAACGACACTGTCATTGTCATTGTTACACAGGCGACATCAGAAACACACCAAACTCGTCAGACTCATCCCCATCGATGCCCCCTCTCCTCCCCGCGTAACTTTCGAAACTCCGTGTCTCGCGCGCTCACATTCCACCCCACACGACGTCCGCGCGCGTGAAACTTTAAACGGCAATTCGCGAACCGAGCGGGTCGGTTCGCCGCGCTCGCGCCTTCGATCGCGGCATGATAATTGCGCTCTAAACGCGACGGGAAAAAAGCGCGCATCAATTACTGCACCGGCCGGGGGGGGAACGTGATTCGCGCGAGAGGGTAAATCGCCGACGAGGCGAGCAGCGAGGCTCGAAAGGGCGCGATCGAAAGACGAATGAAACGTCGAAGGCGACGATTACGGGAGTGACTATCCTGTAATCCACCGGCGTGGATGGTTTCTTAGATCCTGGCTTGATTGGTAATTGGATCCTGCTTCGGCATAGGTATATACCCGCCGGTGGATGCCGCGGAAGGTCGTTTACCCCTTTCGGCGGAGCGATCTCTTCGCGGCCAAGTCGGCGCGGGGTCGGATCGTTAGCTCCTCGCGCGATGCCGCTTCCGATTTTGCCTCCGACGAGGTCGATCGTATTTACCTCGGAATTGCTCTCCCTCTTTCCCCCCCCTCCCCCGCCTGTCCGCCAATCATCCCTCATTTCTCTGCCACATCGCTGGAAACGCGACGATTTCCTCGCGAGATCAAGCCACTCGGCTGCTGAGAAACTCGTGGATTCTTCCGAATGCGGTCATCTCAATTAATTTTGCCGTAATCTCTCTTGATTCGCTTTATAAAATGTGCTTTTTGCATCGCGCTTTCGTCGTGTTCATCGCGGCGTGGAATGAGACGTCACGAGCGGCGTGGCGTTATACCCGCCTCGAGATCCGCGCCGTCGATAGATACGACGATGCGAAGAGCAAAGAGAAGGCCGAATCGAGAAGCAAACCGCAGGGATGTGTCGCGGCGGTTTAAGGATGATGAAGGCAGGACCTGACGTTCCTCCACTGTCGACCGCAGACAGTGTCGACACGGTTGCATAAACTCAATGGTCCATTACCAACGGTGTTTACGATTTCAATTACTGGTCGGCTGATGGAGGATCATCACCACACTCGTGGACAAAGTTATTCCCCTTCCACCACCTCTCGAGAAAATTCGCAAAAATTTCACCGACAAAGTCATGCGATCTCCGATCGTCGGTTGAGCGATCGCGAGGGAGAACGGGCAGATTTTAACGATCCCGAATCCCAAAAACATTACGCTAAAGTTTCCGAAAAATTCGTTCGGGCGTAACGCAATGAGAAAATCGTCTGAAATACCCTATTTGCCCATCGATAAATAAGTAAATAAATGAGAAGTTTTATGCGGGTTTACGCAACGTGACGGACATTCCATTCATTCTCGATTTTGCGGAAAAATGTCGCGAGCCTGTTTAACGTTTCCACGCGACATAGTAATCATGAGCGAGTCGATGCCATCCGAAAAATTCAACCGCGAAAGCCTATACGCTAGGAGGAAGCCACTGCAGATTAACGCACGTGCAATATTGCGAGGTCGCGCCAGGTGTAGCCCGCACGTGATGGTAACGCTGCTTAAAGCTCCGGGTACTAAAACCGCGTAATATCGCTCGGGAACACGCGCTCGTCCTAAGCCGGCTACTCCTCTACGACGGTGTGCGGAGCTTCGTCATCGTCCATTACCGGTACGTGAATTCCCGACGTGTTGTTTATGAGAATACGCTGAAATATGGACGGGAAATTAAACGATAACCATTTTTACCCCCCCCCCTCCCGACTTGGATATTAATTTAAATTCTTGCGATCGATCGTTAACATAATCGTATTCGTTGCGCCTGAAGATGCAAATTTTCTCCCCTGATGCATGAACGAGACCAAGGCCAGTCGGCGCGTCAAGGTGCTTCACTGTTCGCTAAATTCGCGCTACCGCCGCGACGACGGTGAGAGAAGAATCGCCGGCCGCTAAAAGGGCGCAACTTCGCTCGCAGTTAAACCACGAGCGAAGACGCGTCCGAGCAGGTGCAAAAGATTCGAGCGGACAGTTTTATCTCGGAAATAGAGCAGCAAGAGGTTGCGCGCGCTGCTTGATGACTCAGGCTAGGTTCCATTCTGAGAAGAGCGAAACCTCGAGCTGAGTTTCGCTCTCGTATAGAAATTAGTGATAATTATATAGGGCTAGCACCTGCACGCAGGTGCAAAAACTCGGAGAACGCTCGTTGCTGTCGTGGTGCTCGTGCCTCGCGAACTAGCAAACCAGCCATGAGTCACTGTCGGAGCGAGAATCAGGGAGCATCTTCTCGAACCGGATACCACGTCATACCGCGGCTCGTCGATGACAAGTCCAAGCGGAAGACGAGGAATCGTAGTCATCCCGATAGAATGCATCTCGACTACGATGATAATTAACCCTCTAATGGCAAGGTGGATTTTCAACGCATCCAGAAAGGTGGAGTTGGATCCGACTCCATGCTCTGCTTCGTTCATTTTTCACGTAATCAGTGTACTTTTGGTAAATATTGGATAGAGAAAATGGAATATTTCTGAATTTCTATTGTCTGAATTTCCCAACTAGAATCGCACTTTTGAAACATTACATTTCTAATCTGAATCTTCATAGATTTTACAATCAGAATCTATCATTTTTTTCCAAAATTGATATAAATAGATATTAATTAGATCTTAAAAAGTTTCCCATAAAGGATTTCTTAAGAAGAGAAACAGCGCGCTGTAAAATAAGCAAAGTCGTGAAATCAACGTGACTCTACCTTACCATTAGAGACGGTTAACCTTAGCGAAAATCGCGGGTAGAAAAAATTTTTCCCGACTGAGCTTTTCGGATTTGGCTCTCGCTTCTGTGGCGTCATCAATACGCACGACACTTTTCAATTACCTCCGGTATTGCCCGTATAAATTATCCGTGATATCGCCGAGATATCTCCGCGATTAATACGCCGTAACGTTTGACGGATGTAAGCGAGATTGCAGTAGCACCTAAAGGAAAATACTTGGATTGAAAAGTTGGACTCACCCTTCAGCTGCGTAGTCTCAATCGCGAACATGTTGAGCGCCAGAAGCTGAAGTAGACGCGTACCGGGAAGCGGTAGCGGCGAGTGCTGCAACAGAGCTCTGAATTCCTTCAGCATCTGAACACCGGCTTCTTGAAAAGTCTCCATCCTGAAACAAACATGATTTCCCTGGTACAGTGAGGGAAGGAGGAATGACCGAGTAAATATAGTCCGTTTCGTGTTTAAGTCTCTATATCGATAGCGAAATGTCGGTGTCTCGGAAGAACCAACTGACGTGCAAATCGAACGAACTGTGGCAGCGAATAAATATAAATGAGAATCGAGCTACAGGATATACACGTATATATATATATATATATATCAGCCTCTCGATTTGCATATTTCAACTTGGATGAGAACATCCATCGACCTATGAAATTCGCGACGGCGCGAACGGTAAGAGATGTAGCCGATGAGTGCATTAAACAATCAGCTTGGGCTAATACAGTAAATCTATTTAAGCGATAGGAGATCCAATCCGTTGCGTATCGAAAAACTCGGCCCGAGCTGCTTCGACGTCATTTAGCACAACGTATAAGATGTTTCTCGCGCGGAACACTTTCCTTAATTGGAAATAAAATTGACAGGTATATTCCTGGATTATCTCCCGGTCGCTCTTCTCACTCGAAATATCGAGATGCATAGCTCTTGAATAATTCCGAAAACGAGCGGCCGAGAATAACGCGTGTTTTCGGAAATAACCCTCTCGGAGACATATAGGTAGAACAGAACATCGTTCTTCATTTAATCACGATTTCACGAAACATACTTTATGCAAGAAGAATGCATGAGCCGAAAATGAAAGAAACGACACGGGGATGATTAATCGCATCGAGGGCGCTCGTCAACATGGATATGCGACGTAAGGGTCTCTCTCTCTCTCTCTCTCTCTCTCTTTCTCTCCCCGACTGATCGACCTCGAAATAATAGAGCTCGGATCGGTGTGTCGGTGAGCAATGCGACCCACGGTCGGTTGGCTCAGCTAATCTCGCATGGCTGAGGCCGATGATAAAGGAGGACGAAGGTTGGCCGTGGGGTCTTACTGCCGGCGGGGCATCCTCGTAAACACGGCGGTGAAACGGCACCGAGATCTCGCATAGCGGGCGCTATCTTTCCCACAGCCTCTTTCCGCGTGGCGCGCATCGCGCGTGCATGTGCTAATGTATACGTACACGGCAGAGACAGTGGCGGATCCGCGTAACGTCTCACTCGATATCGCGCGACCCCACCCGCGTTGCCCGTTCGTGAACCGGCGAATTCGTGGGACGTAGCCTCCTTCCAACCCTTTCCAACCCCTCCCACGACGAGGAGACGACTTTGTCGTGGTCGCGCAATACCAGAACAAGCCGAGCAGCAATGACAGTGTCGGGAGATCAAGAGTAGAACCTAGCCCGAAGTAGCCGGGAGAACGTGCTACTTCGCGAGGGAGAAAGAGAGAGCGCAAAGTCGTGCAGCTCCGACCTCTATGCCCGTACCGTTACGTACTCTCGATTAAACTCCGAAGAATGGCTAAGTAATCGCTTAACCCCTTCGGCTCCCGCGGCTTCTCCGCGTAATGAATCACCTGGATCGTGTCTCTCGATCTTGAAGAAGAGGCGAAATATCGAGCTCGACGTGGCTCCACGATAGCCCACCGATAGTCCTCGATCGCGGGGAGCCGGCTCTATCGTAGAAAGAGAGAGAGAGAGAGAGAGGGAAGGAGAGAAAGAGAGAGACACCGGCGTTTCTTCCGAGGGGGAGAGAATGCCGAGGAGGCACCATTCCCATCGTCTACGCCATGTGGTATCGCCACGAGCGATAAACGCGGCTGCTGAAATCGGACACCTTCCAGCGCGGCCAGCGGCGCGGATCAAGGTGCACTCACACGCTCGCTCGCTCGCTCGTCTTACCGTTTGATCCTCGAAAAAGACCGTTAGCCGCCGACTCAAATCAAGCTGGTATGCTACCATCCTACATCGCGTAGTAGTATAATCGCCCGTGAGTATTTATCCGTGCCATTACGACAGTCGAAAGGCGATGCTGTCTCGAGCGAGAGAATGAGACGTGACAACGCCAAGTGCGCGCGGCTCCTCCGCGTTACGGAGATGTGCCACCTTCCGACGGAATGTGAAGGAAGGCGCGACTCCCTTCCCATGAACGGTAAGCCGATGCGAAAGAGTGGGACGACCCCGTGTCCGATATAATGTTATAATTACTGCGAGATTGGGGAGAACCCGAGATGTAGGAATGAATCTGTGAGTCTGATGAGTCGAGCTCGCTGCATCGCTCCGTTACACTTGTATGAGACTTCGGCTGGGACTGTCTGATTCATTCATTCTGAATGCTCAGTCATCGACTGCGACTACTTAATAAGACAGACTCGTAAAAGAGCAATTATTGAGGGAGAGGAGGAAGGGGATATACTAAGAAATATTCATTTTTACAAAACATTTAAAATACCGAGTCTTTATTATTAAAATCAATGTCTAAATTTTCTCGAATCGAAATTGTTTTCAGATTATACTGCAATGTTTTCAGAAATCTTTGAGTGGATCAGTTTCGAGGTCTCGACTTGGTTGATCACGAACAGAATGTTTCAAATCATTTTAATAAATTCAATGTGTAAATTTCATTATTACGACATGAGCATGTTCACATAGAAAAATATACATGTGTTCAAGTAAATATTTGTTTCAAGTATTTCATAAGTTTATATATCCGCAAGTATATCATAAGTTCATTATAAGCATCAAATTTATTCAAAATATACTCTGAATTCTAGGAAGTTTAGTGCTTCATAATCAAGAATACTAAATTAAAACGTTAAAACCAAAACTTCGATTTACTTACTCAAATTAACCGAATATAACTTCCTTCGATAATTTTTATAATATTCTTAAAAAGGGGATACATTTTTTTTCTTAGTAAATGATAACGAGCTTTTTTAATGTTTGTGATGAATAAATTTTAACATTATTATGAAGAAAATAGTCTTCGTTCAAGATAACTATTACTTTTAAAAGAAGAAAAATAAATTAAATAATTGTTTTTCATCAGATACAATTCATATTTTACCCTGTATGGAGCTTTCACTGCATCAAGAATCCAGGAATGCGCGAAAGAGCTAATGTGCGATCGCTGCAACAGTTTCCGCATAAATCTATTCCAAGGTAAAGAAGACGCTATCGTACGCACGTCGGTGCTACTGACACGGAGGTGAACGGACGCGAATAACTGGCAATTTTCATATTACTCGAGCATAATCGTAAATCCGTATAGCGTTAATACCACTTAGCGAGATGCATTACGGTATCGGCCCGCTCGCAACTCCGCGTTCATCGATTTCTTTATCTTGTCCGCTCTTTACTACTCTCATGACGGGACCGAACGACCTCGTTCGGAATAATGCCCGGCAACCGAGAGTCGTACCTGCGACCGATCGATCGTAGATAACGATATATGTTCCTATGCCGGCGGAAGATCCGTGATCAGACCGCGAAGTCCAAAGTAGCGACGACGGCCGATTAACTTTACGGCCTTTTGATAGACGCTAAAAACACGATTATCGTACGGACGAGGAGAAGAAGTCACGCGGGCTTATTAAGCTCGCGCTTGGCCAACGCGACTGGCTATCACGCACGAGAAGAACTGAGAGGTCTGAGTGCTCGCGCGCGCATTCAACGAGATGCCGCCTATACGGATGCGGCGGCATTGAAATCACCGCGTCGCGACTAGAAACCCTGCAACAAGATTGACGAAGTAATTTTTCCGATCCCGGTTTCTCGCGGCTCGAGGGCGGATTGTTCGGCAAACTCTCAATAAAAAGAAACGCGTCACGAGAACCTCGATTTCTAAAAAAAGTTCGAAAACACGGAAAGAAGCGATCGCTGTAGATTAATGTTACGAAGGAATGATTCACTCGTTAATAAAGCGGATTTAAACTAAATCAAAGATTGTGTCCTCAGAAATATAGAAAAAAATAGAGCGATCGTAGTCCGCGATTAAGGAAGAGAGGGAACGTTGAAACGAGGCTGAAGAGAGCTGATCATTGCGCGCGCGCGTACGCGCAAAGTTGCGCGTTCGATGAAGAAAATTGACTTTCTCTATCTATACCGCGGCTAAGAGAGTACGATCTAAATCAGGCGAGCTAATCGCCGCGCTAGGCTCGCTTAATAAAGCCAGATCTTCAGCGCACGCAGTCTCGGGGTTAAAGCCGAAGGAACCTACGCGCGGAAAAGCCCTACGCAGTCCCTAGTTGCGAGAACGGATAGCACCGCTGTGCAGCGCGCCGCGGCATTAAGGAGCCCCTCGGCAGCCCGGTTTGTCCCATCGGCATCGACGGACTCTATGACTAACAAGTTTGCACTTTAGCGCATAACGGGGCATTCCGCCGTCTTCCATAGATCATGGTCCATGACCCGCGGATTGCGTGGGCCGGCCACCATAATCATTCCTCGCCGATGCAACGACGCGGCAGCGGCGGCGGTGCGGTACCACGAGCATTAAGTTTCCAACTTCTTCTTCGCCTCTACCCTTCCCACTCCCAGCTCAATCTCAATCGCGCTATCTCCCGCATCGAGCTCGCTCCTCTCCTCGCGATGCGATGCGATTTCGTCGAGCGGAAGATAATCGCGCGTTTATCCCGATTTTAACACGTTCAGCGGTGAAACGTTAAATTCGGACGATATGCTGCTTCTCGTGTACACAAAGGAAAAGATTTCTTTGGGGTTAACAAAATTGTTTTAATCGAAACAAATTCGTCTTTTAGAATAGAGCAGACAAACGAATTTGATGTGACAAACGGGATTACTTAGCTTCTCAAAGAAAATGATATAATATTTGATATTAAATTACGTTGTTTATATTAAAGAAACCCGAGTCAAACGCGTTTACTAAAATTAAAGAAACCTTTTTCTCTATATACAATCATTCGATGTAACGGAGGATTAATTCCTTGTTGATACAAAGCACACGTGGATATATCTTATAATTGAAACTAAGCTTCTTCAAAAAGTTTCTCCTTTCGTTACGAGAGAAGCATATTCCTCTGACGTGAATTCTATTTTTAATAGGATACATACGCGCACGGATGTCGCTTCTGAAGAGATCGAGACCGACGTCTCGTTATTT